CGGCGGCGGCAGTGGCAAGGGCACCCCCGCCGCCGCGTCGTCCCGCACTCCTCCTCCCATTCCTCCTGCGGCACCGGCGCGTTTCCGCCCAGGTCGCCGGCGCCCGCACATCCCGGTGCACCAAGCGCGGTGGCACTGGGAGTACAGGCAGCCGCTGCCCTACCCCGACGTCACGTTGCCGCACCACTGGCATCTGGATTCGCAGCGGATCCCGATGCCGGCGGTTCCGCGGAGCCAGCGGGTGCATGACGAGGAGGGGCGCAGGCGCCGCGCGCAGCTCACGCCGGAGCAGCGTCGGCTGCCTGAGTATGCCGCCGACTCTCCCAACTTGGAGGCTTGGTTCGGCCTCGAACACGAGGAGCAACTGCGTGTAGGCGTCGACGCCGTCCCGCCGTTGTTCCCACCGCCGCCCCCGCAGGTAGTGTAGGAGGACATGGAGACGGAGGCGGAGTACCAAGCCGCCCTCGAGGAGGCCCTGCAGCACACGCTGGAGGCTAGCCGCCTCGAGGAGGACGCGCAATGGGATGGGCTGAAGCAAGCACTTGCCCTGTCAGCGCCAGGGGACTCCGTTCACACCCCGCTCTTCGTGCCGCCACCACCACCACCGCCACCCGTCGAGCCCAAGCCGGAGCTGGAGCCGGAGCCGACGCGGAAGTGCTCCCCGCCTCCACCCACTTGGCCGAAGGAGGCCTACACGTGGACGGGCCAGTACTGCGAGTGGGTGAGCGCGCCTCCTATCCACTTCACCGCGACGCCGACACAGGAGGCGACCCACCTTGAGCGCTAGAAGGCGCGCTGGCTCCGCCAGGTGCAGGCCGACGGCGAGCGCCGGATGTGCTACGAGGCGATGCTCCAACGCGACGCGGAGGCGCTCCGGCTCGAGGAGGAGGAGGAGGAGCGCGCGCGGTTGGCCGCAATCCCGCCGCCCGAGCAGACGCCGGAGGAGGCTGCCCTGGCAGCGTACCAGGTGGCGTTCGGGTGGGCTGGCCCTGCTCCCGTCTTCATTGACCTCACCGGCGATGGCGAGGTCGATGCCAAGGGCAAGGGTAAGGCCGACGACGTCTAGGGCAGCGTGCGAGGCGGCAGCAGGCGGGCGCGGACTTTTTTTATGTTTTAATTAATGTTTAATTAGGTTTAAGTGGACATTGGGCCGGCGTTTGACCGGCCACTTATGTTTAATTATGTTTATTTTGTGTGAGCTGCTTTTTATTTCACACCTATACATTTGGGTCAGCATCCCGTTAGACGGTCAAGTCGACCCATTAAAGAATGCGGACGCGCACGTTCGCCTGACGAAAAGCAGACAAAGCGCACGTTTCGTTTGAGTCGTCTTGTTGGAGTTTGCTCTAGATGCAGAAGGAGCACACTAGGGCGATGGATTGCTGGCGGCACCGGAGCTTTTCCGGTAGCGGGTAAAACCCGTGCCATGGCAGGGGAACCGGCCGGAGCGCTTTTACCGTTGACAGGGACGAGACCGGGCTGCCGACGCGGACCAAAGGCAGAGAGAGTGTGAGGCAGAAAGCGAGAGGAAGCAGCCAGCCATGGCGGAGAGGGACAGAAAAGATAAACAACGCGACGCGACGGGAGGAAGGAAGGACCGAGAAACCAAAGCGAGCGGAAGTCAAAGGCCCACGCGGGACAAGTAATTAAACCGGGCCAGCGGCGGCGGGATTAGTTGGTGTGGTCAGCGAGCGAGCGGGCGAGGGAGGGAGGAAGCCGCGGAACACGTGTGCCAATGTCACACCCCACGCCCACGCCCACGCCCACGCGGCGGAGCAGAGTCGTAGTACTACTACTTGGTCGACGTGAATGTAGCACGATACGACTTGCGTCCATCCGTAGGCTGCTGTGCTGCCCCCTCCGCCCAGCTCTGTCCCTCCGTTCACACGCACCTTGCCTCCTTCTTCCCTCCCTCCCTCCCTCCCGAGCGAGCGAGAGAGAAGCGAGCAAGCAAGAGGAACCAAACTTGCCAGCCTCCAGCTCCTCCGCCCAACGCAACGCAGGCAGGCAAGCCGGAGGCCCCGTCCCGTCCCGTCCTCCCGTATCCTCTCCCCCGGCCGGCGAGCCGATATACAGTCGAGACCACTTCCGTCCATCCTCTGGCCGGTAAGCAATTCACATCTCTTCACGCTTGCGCGCTCCGCTGCTTCAGTTTCGACAAGGGAAAAAGCTTTGATCCCTTCCCTGCCTGCGCTCGGTTGGTTTCTGCAGCTACCGGACGGCAGCAGATTTCTTCTGCCTTTCTTACTAGTCTTTTCTTTTTCCTTTTTTCTTGGTTTGTTTGTTTGTTTTCTCCCAACTGAATGAACAAACCAATTTTCGGTTGCTGATCCGCCGCTCCGATCTCGCTGCTTCCAACCGCTTCTCGCTCCGATCTTGCTGCCGCTCCTGCCACTGCTAGGTTTTTTCTACTAGGATTCTTGTTGGGGATCGCAACTCGCCGCGTGTTGCGCCGCCGCTCGCCTCCGGATATCACGGTGGGGATTTGTCCCCACCCTCTCCCTCTCCCTCTCCCTCACTATCAGCCGCAGTTTGTTTGTTTGTTTGTTGGATTTGTTCCTTCTTCCACCCCGAGCCGATTACTTTGCCTTCTCCCACCGCCGATCTGTTAGCTCGCGCTCTGATCTTTGACAGATGAGGGATTGGACGCCTCGTTTGTTCGTTCGTTCGTTCCCTCTCGCGTCTCTTTCATACCCCATGCATGCGACAGCGATGCAGCATGGCAGTTTACCCCGCCCCAGTAACTAAACTCTGCATCCGGCCGTTGGCTCTGCTCCGCTTTGTTGCAGATCAGTAAGGTGAACTAGGAGGATCCCCTGGCCTGCCCTGCGCCCCCCGGGTCTGTCAGGCCGAGGATCGATGGCCGGCGGCGGGACCAGCATCAGGAAGTATGTGGGCGCCCTCAAGGACTCCACCACCGTCAGCATCGCCAAAGTCAACAGCGACTACAAGGTATCGCCATCCCTCTCTGTCCCTTTTATCATTCATCTCAAATTTTGCTTCTAGAATTGTTTTTTAACTGTATTGTAATCGCTCTTTGCAACAGCAACTGGACATCGCGATCGTCAAGGCCACCAACCATGTGGAGAGGCCTGCAAAGGAGAAGTACATCAGAGGTAGTAACAAACTCATGTTTCTACAGGCGCAAGAGCATGATCTTCTTCTGTCTCAAGAAACACCATTTTTCTCATCATGTGCTTCCTCTTCTCAGACATTTTCATGCATCTTAATTCCGGGCGGGCTCGGGCGGACGTGGCCTACTGCATCCGCGCCCTCGCGAGGCGCCTCTCCAAGACGCGCAACTGGGCGGTATGTCCACCAAAAAAGATCTCCTGATATTCATTATCAGAGCAAATGATGTCTGCTGTACTTGCTACTATCTGGGTGATGCTCAGTAACTAATTAAGGTGGACTGGTGGTTATGATTGATGAACTTCTCATTTCTGTATTTATTCACCAGGTTGCACTGAAGACGCTAATTGTCATACACCGTGCCCTTCGCGAGGTCGACCCTTCTTTCCGTGATGAGCTCGTCAGTTACGGAAGATCTAGCGGCCAGATGCTACACATGTCCTATTTCAAAGATGACTCCAGCCCTGATGGTACTAGTTGCCGCTAACCTCGCCCTGGTCTTGGATTAGTATCTGAACTTTCTCTTTCGCAAAAACTAGAACTTTCTCCTGACATGTCTGTTGTGTTTGCAGCTTGGGATCACTCTGCTTGGATACGCAATTATGCTTTATTTTTGGAAGAGAGGCTCGAATCTTTCCGTGTGCTGAATTATGATGTCGAACTGGATCCATTGGTACGTAATCTAATGCAAGTTTATTTATATTTATATTAAGGAAACAAATATTGGCTTGGTCCATAGGGTGTCAATGGGTTACTTTAGCATCTCATTTGTGATAATAACTATTATCTGCAGGGAACACGAGATGTTGATACAACTGGTTTGCTTGCACAACTGCCAGCATTGTCGCAGCTTCTTTTTCGGCTAATTAGTTGTCAGGTGATTCATTGCTGTCTTATTCTGCGCAAAGTGAATCGCATCCAATATTTTTGAGGGGCCATGATATTTAAATCTGCATTGCTTACTATTGATTCATATTTTCAGCCGCATGGGTCATCATCTTATAACACCATAATCCAGCATGCCCTTTCAATGGTGAGGATTCAGAACATTTATGAACAGTGTACTATTAAATAGTGATTTCATCAGTCCTTGACTTTGTTTTGCTTGTAAATGGAAGGTTGCTACGGAGAGTGTTAGGATCCAGACAGCCATCAATGATGGCATACTCAATCTAGTTGACAAGGTACTGGCCACTAGCTTATTTTGTAAGATTGTTATCTTGTATGCTTCATTTGTTTATCTTACACCATTGGCATCTTCTGTACAATGCAGTTCTTCGATATGCATAGGGACGACGCTATTAGGGCCCTCGATATATACAAAAAAGCACTTAAGCAGGTTAGTTACTTTTTTTTCCTATTGTTGGTCAACCAATTATTTTGTTAGTTTGAATTGGTTTTCCACAACACCTGAAATGATGTCCATGTTTCTCTATACTTATCGTCATTTTTGGGTTGTGCAGGCAGGGCAACTTTCTGGATTTTATGAGACATGTAAAACCATACATATTGGGCGGGATGAGAAGCTGTTAACAATCGAGCAGGTTTAGTTCGCATCCTCGGGATTATTTGTATATTTCCATTGTTGTTCTTATTATGTTTGTAAACTTGCTGATAGCCTACCGATAACACATGCAGCCTCCTGCGTCATTCTTGCAAGCTATGGAAGATTATGTGAGAGATGCTCCCCTTGCTTCAAAAAACCAGGTTTGAAACTTCTACAAGTAAATAATGGATGTATAATTTCCTTACAGTTCAGCTAGTATCCTTGTATTGTACTCCCTCCGTCCCAAAATAAGTGACTCAAGTTTGTACTAGCTTTGTAGTACAAACTTGAGTCACTTATTTTGGGACGGAGGGAGTATAATTCTTATAAAAATGTGATGGAAGACTAAAGTAAGAAACAGTTGTTGCAAAACTGAGCTTTCCATTGTTCAGTTGACCATATGAACCTTTATTGTCATTGTTTGTCCTCCATTTTTTCGTCCTTGCTAATATTTCTAGGACGTCTTCATTTGTTTGCAGGCTGTACTGGCAATAGAGTACAACAGAAAACCAGAAGAGGAAGAAGCATCAACTCCACCACCACCTCCTCCTCAAGTATCAACTTCAGAGAAAGAACCAGAACCAGAGCCGGTTAAAAAAGTCGTGCCTAGAGTCGAGCAAATAGATTTGCTGGTAATTTTCCATGTCACTAGAGCAACTGCATATTATCTTATTTATAACTGAATCAGCCTAACAAATTCATCTCTGCTTTGCAGGGGATGGATGAGCCGATCCCTGACACGTCCGAGCTAGATCAAAACAATGCTTTGGCCTTGGCAATTGTTGAACCAGGTACATACATCTTCCAAATGGATTATCTTAATTCGTTAACATGTGAAATGTTAGAAACAAGAAGAAAATCAGGCACTAAAATGCGTGTGCCAATTCTCACCTCTTGCTGCAGATAATGCGCCTAAAGCTGCTGTTAGTTCCGAAAACGTCGCCACTAGCTGGGAGCTGGCTCTGGTCACAGCACCCAGTGCAAGTGAAAATGTTGCTACTTCAAGAAACTTGGTGAATACCTGAAACACTTTCTTTACCTGATGATGATCATGTGTCTGAAACCAAACTGACATTTTCCCGCGCTACAGGCCGGTGGACTGGACCTGCTCACCCTCGACAGCCTCTACGACGACGCGCACCGGCACACGCAGCAGAACGCAAGCTACAACCCCTGGGAGCAGCCGGCCCCGGCTTCATCGGCTCCAATGATGCAGCAGCAGTATCAACCGCAGCCGATGCACAACCCGTTGTACGCCTCGGCGCAGCAGCAGCAGGCCTTCATGCTCCAGCAGCAGCAGGCCTTCGTGCTCCAGCAGCAGCACCAGTACCAGCAGCAGTACCAGCAGATGATGATGATGGGCGCGCCGTCCCTCCATCGCCAGGCGTCCTCCAACCCGTCGCTCCATCGTCAGGCGTCCTCCAACCCGTCGCTCCATCGCCAGGCGTCCTCCAACCCGTCCTTCCATCGCCAGGCGTCCTCCAACCCGTTCGACAGATCATACGTGCCGGCAGGTGGTTACCCTAATGCTCCGGCGATGCAGCTCCACACCGGCAACGCCTACAATGGGACCGGCATGATGTAGAGATGCTCGTGGTGGTTTTTCTTTTTTGCTTCGCCGTTGCAATTTTTTTCCGGGTTAGTAGGCACCTGGTGTATAGTTTAGATGAGTAATGGCAGGGGAAGTATTTTTCCCCGGCTATTTGTGGTCAGGACGGTTGCTTGTGCTGTGCAGCCGTGAAGTATTGTCCAGGGAAATTAAATTCTGGGAACATGGTAACAATGTTTGAAACAGGAGAAGAGAGATGAACATTGTGAAAAAAAAGGTATCAACAGAGCAACTTTTCTCTCTCTTCTGAGACATGAGAAAAAACAGACATTATTTAATAAGATACTCCCTCTGTTCCATAATGTAGTGCATATAGATTTTTAGGAAAGTCAAACCTCGCAAACTTTGACCAAGTTTGTGGAGGAAAATATTTACATCTAGAATGCGGAACATATATATCAGATTCATCATAAGACGTAGTTCCATATTTTATATATTTGGTATTGTAGATATAAATAGTGTTCTCTATAAACTTGTCAAAGTTTGTAAACTTTTTAAAAAATCTATATGCCCTACATTTTGAAACGGACGGAGTATTTAGTTTTTCCTTTTGAGATGGGGTAAAAAATAGAACTGAACTGAAACTATGCATCAACAGGATTGATCAGTCAGATCAAAGCAAGATGCATTTTGCTCAGATGTTAGTCAAAAGCGAGATGCATTATGTTGAGATATCATACTGACGAAAGGCGGCAGAAGCTAGACAGAGTATGCAGTGATGCCATGGCAAACAGCTGACTGATGCAAGTGAGTGAGATCATCAATGGAAGTTCAAGTTCCTACCAACAAAAAATGCTAGCAGGCAGATATCTGTACAGGCAACTGAATAGGATCACTTCACTGATATAAACAAGGTCAAGCACACCAATGCTCCAAATCATACTGTAGATATTCACAAGTTGATGATCCCTATTTCTAGTGAAGTGCCGCTAGAAACACGCAGACCACAGGTTCAGGAGAGGATGAAGCGCTGGAGATCAGAAGGCGCTGTACTCGTCCTCGGAGTTCATCTGGAGGAACCACACGATGGCCAGCCCGAAGACGGCAAAGGAGGACAGCTCCATTGTCAGCGCGCCCCACCCGATGACGCCGGCATGCTTCAGGATCGACGGGATGGCGATGCTGCCCACGATCGACGCGCCCGTCAGGAACTTGGTGAAGTTCACCCACCTGCATGCAGTGGCGAAATTGCATCAGAAAAAGCTACAGTAACTATCTTTACCCATATATATATAAGAAAAGATTTCGAGGGAAGCAACAAGGTCTGAACGTTTGTCCATCACAGATGTTCCAGAATAGACGGCCAGCATTTGAAATTTGAAATCTAAATATGACGTAAGAACCTCTGTCGGAAAAGGTTACAAGTACCATCTGTGCCACTAAGGTAAGGCATATCTTTTGAAGTAAAAACTGATCTGAATCATCAGTTTTGACAAACGTGATTCATAACGAAGAACCAGTACTGAGTACTGGCTACCAGGTACTAGAGAATCACTTGGAAATCACTTACCCATCATTCTCATTCGACATGATCGATGGAGAATCGGAGCCCAGGAAAAATATGAGTGGCATAGGTAGTATGAGGTACATCAGAACTGCACAAAATGCCATGGATCATTTACATAATACTTGTTCAAAATTATATGACAAAGGTTTGGCAGCTTGAACAAAAGTCTCTAACCTGTCAACATTGGCCACCAGTTGTTATACAGAGCGCAGGCCTGAATAAGACAGAGTTACAGAGATTCAGGCAACGTCCAAAAGAAAAAAAAAGGATAGAAAAGCTGACGGTGAGATGATAAATGTTGATGCCTACCAAAATCTGCAATACGATCCCACCAGAGACCAGTATTGCCAGGGCGGCAAGTCTTCCGCTATGCAGGCATGTTCTCATACTGCGCGACAGTGCCATCGTTCCTTTAAATGCTGTCCAGGTATGCAAGTTTCTGGAGTGGGGAAAAGGCAGACAATCAAACACATTGCGGACATCATATGTAAAAAAAGAAAAGGAAGCAACACTATGATCACTAACTAGTGGATCGAAAGGTCCATATGACCGGATCACAATCATATATCCAAAACGACCTATCTTAGACCAAGGAATAGGATGCTCTCAACCAGCCTAAGTACACAAGTCACACCGCCCCGCCAATGTTTTCAGCGAGCCTCGACTACCGAATTGCTACCTCTTATCAGACTAACACCTGATTGCTGTCTACTGAAGAGAACAATAGCCGTGTGCAGCAACAGGAAATCATCCAGATGGCCGAGTTTCGTGATCAGCATCTACTTGAGTCGCTTGCAGAAGAAAGAGGTTCAAATAATAATTCACACGCAACCGTAATTATTTCTCCCCCAATTCTGATAACGGGACACCTAATACCTAGAACATATCCGCCAATTCGACCGTAATTCGCGCGCCGCGCAAAAAGCGACCAATCCCCTCTCCCCGGCTGATCTAACCCAATCCAGAGGCGATTCAGATCGGAGTTACTCTCGGCGGCGCCCCGCGCCGATTCGACAGAGGCGGGCAGGAAGTGGAGGGGATCGACGGGTGCGTACCGAGCGCGAGGCGCGTGCGGCGGAGACGGCGGCCGCCGCGCGACGAGGAGGCTGCTGCGGCGGCGGAGGTGGCGGCGGGGGGTGGGGATCGGTCTCCGGCCGGAGGAATCGGTGGCGATTGGAGAAGGGCCGGTGGTGGTGGTGGTGGAGTGGACGGGACCGTAGGGTGCTAGCCGGTGTTATTTTATTATTTTATTAACCGTTTGTCCCTAATCGCGAGGGTACCTAATCGAGTTGGAGAAGGATCGGATCTGGCTGGCGGGCGCCTTCACCGGCTCCACCCCCCGCTGATGTAGCGCCAATTTGTTTGCCGAGACGGATAGCTTCTGGACAGTAGGTCCCGATTTACCTCGAATATCCAATTCCGAGCCTGGACTTGTCTGCGTCTCGTAAACAATCAGTTCATAGAAAAAATGCATGAAAGATGTTTGAGTGCGGGAGGTCTCTGCCAATTTTCAAAGGGCGCTGATAGGCGCCGGTGCGCCGGCCGAAAGTTTCGGCCGGTCTAGCCCAGGCCGTTGGATGTGAGCCGCACGGGTCGTCGGATCCAGGTAAAAAAAAATGACTCGCTGCCCGGCTTCTTCTACCTCCCGCACGCACGCGTAAACACAGGAAAAAAATGGATCTCCGCGGGTCAGCCTCCTCGTGCTCGCCCTTGGACGCCGCGCCGCAGCTCACCGGGGCCGCTCGCCGTCGCAGCTCGCCGTCGCTGCTCGCCGGGGCTGCTCGCCGTCGCAGCTCACCTGGGGCGTTCGCCGTATGCAGCTCCGTTGGGCCAGGCGTGTCTCCCTCCCTCTGGTTGCAGCATCGCCGGGTGAGGGTTCCAGCATTGTCGCAGTCCGCCATCATAGCTCACTGCGTGCCCGTCGCAGCACCGCGCGCCATGCAGCTCCGTCGCCGCCGCTCACCATTGTTAGCTAGCCGTTCTCGGTTTGAAACTTTTTTAGAAGCGCGTTGTAGCTTTCCTCCAAACCGGTTGCAGCTTTTTGTCGCTGCGAGATGCCGACCCCCAACTACCTCATATCCAGTTGAAGCTTTTTTCAAGCTGGGTGTAGCTTTCATGGCTACCGGATGTAGCATTTTTCAGCACTGGTTGGAGCTCTGATGTACATCCGTTGAAGCCCCTGCTTTCTTTGATTCCAACAAAAAATGTTGTTGGTTCCAGCTCTCGATTTGCAGGTTGTAGCAAAAACAAAAGCTGGTTCCAGCTCTGGGTTTGCCGGGACAAAAATCATTTGCTAGAAAAGCATTGCTGGTCGCTGCTTCCGCCGGTTGCCGTGGTAGCAAAAACTCTTGCGGGAAGAAGCTTTTGCCTCGTCGTTTGCAACAAAATGAGGCGGCCGCCGACGGCGACATGGAAAACACTCCAGGCGATGCACCAAACCTACATGCTGGTTCCAGCTCTGGATTTGTCGGTTGCAGCAAAATCAGACGCCGGTTCCAGCATCCCCTGTGTCGTGGGGTGTGCCTCGCCGTTGAAGCTATGCAGCTCGTCTGTCGGAGCTGGGGGATTGCTGGTGCTGGAAACGGCGCGCTGGGAGAATAGCTGGAGCTACGGATGAGAGGTGGTCGTGTGTGGGGGGAAATCGCCGGCCGTGGTGTGGAGGACGACCTCACCAGCGAGATTTGGCTACGGCAGGGGGAGGGGACGATGCGGGGGAGGGGGGAGGGGGTAGACGACAGCCGCGCCGGGGCCGCTCGCTCGCATGGGCTGCTCGCTCGCCGGGGCAGCTCGTCATCGCAACTCGCCGTAGCAGCGGGGTGGGACGGGAGAAGAAGCAGGAGCGCGAGGAAGAGGGAGACCGGCCGAATCGTTCCGCCGGTGCCCCGGCCCCAATCGTTTCCCATTTTCAAAGCATTCGGGCATCTGGGTAGCTTTTAGAAAAAACCAAAATCTATCCAAATAGTCCACAAACAGTAAACTTTTTCACTGATTCTAAAATTTTTGTTCTCGCTGAGAGCTACTCAAATCCATCACCAAAAAAAAAACTCTGATTTTTTTGCTATTTTGAACGAATTTACTGTTAACACTCAGGCTCATCTGAGCCAAAACGCCCTGTCCGGTTTATGTTTTTTTTTTCACCAAAAAAATCCAGCAGAATATAAAGCGCAACTCTCAACAGCAGCAGCACGACATAGAGAAACAATTCCCATCCTTCATAAAATAAATCCATAAGGGTGTCTTTCTTTTCTTCTATGGAAAAAACAAAAATATGCAAAGAAAGCCGCCACGCACATATACTTCTGGAAACCAATCCATGGCGCAAGACGGCGTCAATTTGTGTAACAAACACATCTGGGAAGTGGGAACAACCTACAGCAATCCTGAAGCATCTTAGCAAGATACAGACAGGCCTTGAGAGGGGTTCAGGCCTGAGTGACACCTACCGAGTTCAGAAAATGAGCGAAAGCGC